TTCAAGATGAGAAAACACAAGACAGAGGGCATTCTTGATTACGTGCACTCAGATGTTTGGGGGACCAGTGAGAGAGTTGTCCAAAGGTGGATCTCAGTATTTCATTACTTTCATCGATGGCTTCTCTAAAAAATTTTGGGTATATTTCATGAAGCACAAGCTTGAAGCCTTTCCAAAGTTCAGATTGTGGAAAGCGGAAGTAGAGAAACCAGACAGGCAGAAAAATTAAGTATTTGAGAATAGACAACAGTACAGAGAACACAGATTTACAGTTTCTAAAATTTTGTGGAGAGTATGATATTCAGCGGTATTATAAAGTTCATAAGACACCACAGCAATATGGTGTAGCGAAGAGGATGAACAGTAAAATTATAGAATGGGCAAGATGTTAGAGGCTGAATTAGGGCATTCGATGAGTTTTTGGGTAGAAGTAGTTAACATGGCATGTTATGTCATAAACAGATCACCACGAGCAACACTAGATGGGAAAGTTGCAGAGAAAGCTTGGACAGGTAATGAAGTTGATTATTTTAAATTGAGAGTATTTGGGTGTTCGACTTATGTGCATGTATCCAGTGATGAAAGATCCAAACTTGATCCAAAATCAAGAAAGTGCATTTTTCTAGGATATGTGAAAGGTGTAAAATGTTATAAGTTTTGGGATTCAGAGGCAAGGAAGATAGTGATAAGTAGAGATGCAGTTTTTAATGAAGCATTTATGCTTAAATCTTCTTCAGATAAAGAGAAGCTCAATTCAGACGAAGGCAGCAGCAATAGCTAAATGGTGCAAGTAGAGCTAGATAATGTTGACAGGAAAATTTAAGCTTAGAGAGCGAATAGTTTCTAGGTCAAAGGTAGAGTAGTATCATAGTGTTGTCATAGATAGACCATGTCACATTAGCAAGCCAACAATAAAGTATAGATTCGAGGATTCGATTTTTTATGCACTCATTATCAGCAATAGCGATTCTATAACTTTTCAGGATGCCATTGGTAGTCAGGAGAAATGTAAATGGGTAGAGGCTATAATGGAGAAAATTGAGCGACTGCATAAAAATGATACTTCGGATTTGATGGAGCTTCCAGAGGGGAAGAAATCGATAGGGTATAAGTGAATGTACAGAAAGAAAGAAGCAATGTCAGAAAATGAAGGAGAAAGATACAAGGCTTGATTAGTAGCAAAGGGATACTCACAGAGGAAGGGAGTAGATTATGATGAAATTTTCTCTCCGATCATCAGATACACTTCCATCAGGATTGTTTTGGCAATGGTGGCTAGTTTTGATTTGGAGTTAGAGCTGCTAGATGTGAAGATCATTTTCTTTCATGGAGATTTGGAGGATCAGATTTTCATGGAGCAGCCAGAGGGGTCCTTGGAACCAGGCACAGAGAGTCTTGTGTGTAAATTGAAGAAGTCTTTATACGGGCTTAAGTAGTCTCCTCGACAATGGTACAAGATGTTTGACTCTCATATGATTCAGATTGACTACAGTCGTTGTGATTATAATTGTTGCGTTTACTACAGAGTTCTTGATGATCATTCTTATATTTTTTTGATGTTGTATGTGGACGACATGCTAATTGCTGCTAAAAACATGAATGGGGTAGACAGATTGAAATTTTTGTTGAGCAGTAAGTTTGATATGAAAAACTTGAGACTGGCTAAGAATATTCTTGGCGTGAAGTGTCTCAGAAAAAAATATTTGAAGAAAGTGTTGGAGACGTTTAGCATGTTTGATGCAAAATCAGTTGCTACACCGTTGGCAAATCACTTCAAATTGTCTAATAATCAGTGCCCAAAGAATGAAGAAGAAATTGCAGAGATGTCAAAGGTGCCTTATGCCAACACAATTGAATGTTTGATGTATGCAATGGTGCGTACTAGACCAGATCTAGCACATGTAGTCAATGTGGCTAGCAAGTATATGGCTAATCCTGATAGAGAGCATTGGAGAGCTGTAAAGTGGATTTTCAGGTACTTGAAAGGTAAAATGGAGTGTGGGATCATGTTTGAGAAACATGGTGATGTTTCAGTTCAGGGATGTGTAGATGCAGATTATGCAGGGGACTTGGATGATAGAAACATGGTGATGTTTTCATACTGACAGGTGGGACTATATATTGGAGATCAATGGTGCAGTCACTTGTGGCATTATCTACAACTGAAGCAGAGTACATGGCGGCAACTGAGGCAGCCAAGGAATTATTGTGGTTGAGGGGGTTTGTTAGGGAACTTGGGATCAAGCAAGATGGAATGAAGCTATATTATAATAGTCAAAGCGCCATCTTCTTAGCAAAGAATCAAATTTATCATGCAAGAACAAAACACATTGATGTGAGATTTCACAAGATAAGAGAGTTGGTTATTTCAGGAGAGCTGTTGTTAGAGAATGTGCATACCTCATAGAATGCAGCAGACATGATGACAAAGCCAATCACAATGGATAGATTCAAGCATTGCTTGAACTTGATTAACATCTCTAAGTGTTAAAGAGGATGTGTCCCAACCCATTAGTCCTAGACGGTGTGATTTTTTCAAGTTATGCTTTTCTCTTAAGGGGTGATTCGCCAAGGTAGAAGTTGGTGTGTTCCATTCTATATGAGCCATATACACAACAAAAATAGACAAAATTTGATTTCTTGTGCCTGAGGTACATGGAACTTCAACTAATAAAGAAAGGTTATGATGCAGCACATGGATCAATTTTAATTTTGGAGAAGAATATATTAAGCTTTAACCTCCATTTTTTCAAAAAAATTATTTTTTTTGAAATTTCATTTTTCACCATACATTCTCCTATAAAATAATTTTACACGTAATTTAAAAATTTTTACATATTTTTTTAATAGCACATTCTCCAAAAAATCATTATCCCCCACCCCACCCCACCCCACCCCCAAAAAAAGGGGATTAAAAATGGCCCTAGTATTTATCAATTGATGTGGAATACAAAATTATTGACACAACAAAGATATTTAATGTACAAATATAGTTGTCCATCAAGAGAACCAAGTGGCAAGAAAAAAACAGCTTTGTTAAATTTCTTTAGCATGGTCAAAATTTTAGTATACTCTTGCATGTCCTTTTAACACCACCTCAAAAATTTAGTATATTCCTTAGCATTCTTTAGGAGTAAAGTGAAATTGATCATTGGTTCCCCATTTTCAAAGCAAGGGTAAATGGTTCTTGGGGCTATGCTGTTGGACCTTATGAACGCACGAGACATAGTGCATAGGTATTCTTTGATGTCACAGGGACAAGACGTTGTGACATATGGAACAAGTGCAGATTTCTGGGCACTTACAGCTAGTAGTTTTTGATGGCCAACAAGGGAAAATTTTGGACCTTGATGAGAGGCATTCATTGAGGTTGTAAGAATAAAAAACAGGGCTGAAATGGGTCAAAATTCTGTGTGTGCTGGGTAGTCTAAATCAATGGCAGATTCATCAAACCACAAAGAGGCAGATTCAAATAACTCTAGAAATGATAAGGCCAAAGGTAAGGTTGAAGAACCAAGGAAACTCGGTGCAAAAATTGACAAGAAGAAGGGTACATCCCTTGCTTCAAAGTCATGTAGATTGCTTCTTGGAATATTAGGGGTATGAATTCACCCCTAAAACAAAATGGGATCCGGGAATTTATCAAGTAACATTGCATTGATAATATGGGTATTTTGGAGACGAAGTTGGTTGATCGAAAATTGAAGACAATTTTGGGGAATAAATTCTATGGCTTCATGCATGTAAACAATTTTTGCACAGACAGATCTTGATTTTGTAGAATCCATCCAAAGTGTTTTTGGATGTGATGGAGGTTCATCCACAAATCATTCATTGTAAAGCTACTTTCAAGGTAACATCTTATAACTTTCTTGTTAGTTTTGTTTATGGATTTCATACTTTGGTTAGCCGATGGCCACTTTGGAGTAACATTATGGAATTCAACGCTAAAATTTCATTGCCTTGGATGATTCTTGGTGACTACAACAATATTCTCAAATTTGATGAGAAATGTAACGGAGCGGACGTTACTCCTTATGAAATAAAGGATTTTGCTAATTGTTGCCTTCATGTGGGTCTAACGGATGTGCACTCCATTGGTTGTTCTTACACGGGGACTAATAACTTGATTTGGAGCAAAATTGATAGGGCAATGGTCAATGATATTTGGGTGCAAAATAGGACATATGTTGATGTAAATTTTCTACCTTCCGGATGCCTTTCCGACCACTCCCTTTGAATTCTTTCCGTTCATGATCTTGTTGGGAGTGCTAAAAAACATTTCAAGTTTTTTAACATGTGGACTAAGCATAAGGACTTTCATGATATTATTCAAACTTGTTGGAACTTTAATGTGTGGTGGACAAAGCAATTTATCCTTTGCAAGAAGTTAAGCAAACTAAAGGGAGCTTTGAGGGAGCTAAATATTAAGCATTTTGGGCACATTTCGACTAGGGCAAATGAGGCTAAAAATGAATTGGAGACTGCCCAATTACAACTACATAATCAGCCCATGAATGAAAATCTTCAACTTATGGTTGCTAAATTGAGGAAGAAAGTCATTGGTTTATGTGAAGCGGAACGTAGTTTTTATTATCAAAAGGCAAAATGCATCTTCCTTAAGTAAATTGATAAATGTAAAAAGTTCTTTCACTCGGTGGTTAAAAGAAACCCAAAGAGGAATTTTATAGCTACTATACTCAAAGAGGATGGGATCTATACTACATCACAAGATCAAGTTGCCACAGAATTTGTAATATTTTACACTACTTTGCTGGGAAAAAACTACCCAACTCAGCCTATTGAGATGGAAATTGTTACAAATGGTCCCTTAGTTTTATTGGAACAAGGTAACTCTTTGATTCAGAACATTTCTTATGAGGAGATCAAAGAAGGACTTTTTGATATTGGAGATGATAAGTCTCCCGGGCTGGATGGTTATACTTCTTTTTTTTAAGAATGCATGGGGGACTATTGGCGATGAGTTTGTTGGAGCTATCATGGAGTTCTTCTCTTCTGGTTCCATCCTCAAACAAATCAATCACACGGTCATTCCTTTGGTGCCTAAATCTGGTCACACACCGCATGTTGGGGATTTTAGGCCTATCTCTTGTTGTAATGTTACTTACAAAGTGATTGCAAAAATTCTTGCTTCTAGACTGAGACCTATTTTGGGTAATATTGTGGACCATGCACAAGCCACTTTTGTGGAAGGTAGGAGCATGGTGGAGAACATTCATCTTGCCCAAGAACTTATGAGGCAATATAATAGGAAAAGGGTTGCTCCAAGATGCTTCCTAAAAATTGATCTTACGAAAGCTTATGATTCGGTAAGTTGGGATTTCCTTAGAGATGTTCTTGAAGGACCCCTCGAGATTTGTAAGTTGGATCATGGAATGTATTACTTCTCCAACATATTCCATTGCTTTGAATGGGAGTATGCATGGGTTCTTCAAAGGAAGGAAAGGCCTCCGGCAAGGTGATCGCCTCTCCTCTTTTTTGTTCGTACTTTGTATTGAATACTTCTCAAGAATGCTTAAAGTTACCACGAATGATATTGATTTCAATTATCACCCTAAATGTGGCCCTCTAAAGATCACCCATTTAGCTTTTGCGGATGATTTGATGCTTTTTGCTAGGGGAGATGTCATGTCGGTGAAAGTTCTTATGGTGGTTTGGTATTGGGTTTAAGGTTGAACATCCTCAAATCAAGTTTGTTTACAACGGGGATTCATGGAGAACTACTTGAGGATATCTTGCAACTCACACATGTCCTGAGGGATAGAATGCCATTTCGGTATTTGGGGATTCCACTTGCTTCGGGAAAACTAAAAGTAAGTTGTTATGCTTCCTTTCTTGACAAAATTAAAATTTATACTAGTGCATGGAATTGCTCTTCATTATCTTATGCGGGCAAGGTGGAACTTATAAGGGCGGTTCTTCAAAGAGTTGAATGTTTTTGGCTTTTTATCTTCCCTATCTCGGCTACAATTACATCAATGATTGTTAGCTATTGTTGGAAATTCCTTTGGGGATCTAAGAAGCCTTTGGTTGCATGGAAGGATCTTTGCCTTCCAAAAGATGAAGGGGGCATCGGCTTGAAGGACTTGAAGAGTTGGAATTTAGAGTTACTTGCTAAATCCCTTTGGAATACACAACACAAAAAGGACACACTATGGATTCGTTGGGTTCACGGCTTGCATTTGGGAGGTTCGCCCTAGAAAAAATCACTCTCCACTCTTTAAAAAATTGCTGAAAATCAGAAATCTACTACTTCAAAAGCTTGTTGGTCCCCAGTTTCTTGCACAGGACAGAGAACAAGTTCAGCGGAATCTGGACAATTTTCTGAGTCAGTCGAACGCTCAAAATTGGGTGCCGAATCTGGGAGAAAACTCAGAGCGAAGACATGAAATTCTGTTCAGTTTTACGGAGTTATCGGCTGCTCAAAATGGGGACCGACATCTAGGATTTATGGATAGTTTTTTCAGTGGGGGAAACATGTACTAAATTCAGCACAAGAAAGGCATACGATTTCTTCAGGCCGAGGAGTACAAAGAAAACTTGGGCAGCTGACGTTTGGAAACCTTGCATTACTAAAACACTCATTTTTTGCTTTGGTTAGAGGCCCAATCAAAGCTCCTAACTAAAGACAAACTGCATTTCTAGGATATTGATCGCAAGTGTAATTTTTATGGGTATTTGGAGGAAACAGTTCATCACTTATTCTTTGAATGTTCTTTTACCTCCACACTATGGGGGAATATTAGACTGTGGCTCAGAATCAAAAGATCTATATCCACACTTGCTAGAGTTCTTAAGTGGTTGAAAAAAGAGGCTAGAAGGATTTCAAGGCTTAGCAAGGTTAAGCGGATTGCACTTGGAAGCACCATCTACTACATTTGGTTAACACGTAATAGAAAGATTTTTGAAGACCTTTCACCTAATTTACATTGTATTGTGAGACGGATCAAGACGCACGTATACAAAGTTATGTTCTCTTTGTATTCAGATGTCATGATCTATTTCGAGTCTTTGCTGTCGGGGTCATTGATTCTTATTACACTCCATTTATTTTGTCTTACCCGGGTATGCCCGGAGTAATTGTATGTCATATTGGCTTTTGATTCGCCGGGGAATACCCGGTGTACTTGTATATGAAATATTTTTGATCAATGATATTTACATTTACCGATACAAAAAAAAAAAAAGTTTCTACATAAATATTATCTTCATTTACAATGTACTCAATCTATCAAGCTTCATGGATAGGAAATTCATCCATATTTAAAGTAGATAAAGGCGCAAAACACTTGAAAAATATGCTGCACATTCTCACAAACCACTTCTAATCCTATGGGACATTCTAAAACTTAGACATCCCGCGAAGTACTCCACAATTCTAGGATGATGTGATGTCCCAACTACAAAATTTAACCTGCACGATGTCGGCTTTTGTCCTTCACACTCTTCCCTGTGCAGATATCCATGTGCTGCTGCTGAGTTCGTGACAAGATGCTCAAAAAGGACTAACCGGAATCAACTACGGTGTCTGGCTCCAACGAAGGTACACAATTCTAAAAACAATCCAATACTTCAATCCATGTAGGTCACAAGATTTTAGCTAGAAACTTGACAGTAGTAAAATGATAGGCTTGTGTAATCCACTGAGATCAAGTTCATAAATGAAAACTAAAGAAAATAAAATACGACTATTTGCTCTGATACCACACATTGGTGAAAATTAATAAAAATTACCAGTCAAAAATATTATGACAATGCTCACATTTGCAACCAAGTTTTGTTCAAAGAACTCTTCAACAAGGTTAAGCTGAAGCCTACATAATCTATCAAGGTGCGACAACAGCAATCCTTCCAGCAACTTGGTCAAGATCCCGTCGCCCGCTGGATGTGATTCGTCTTCCACTGTTAACCAAGCAAAATTAGTGTCAAGATAGCAACCAAAAAATGTCACATTTTTTCCATGAAATGACAAGCATACAATCTTGTAAAAAGATTTTCTGAAAGTGCAGCAAATAGTTTTTGATTGTGGAGAAATAAGTTCTTAGGAAGTAAATTATGTAGGAAATTAAGCCAAATTATCATTTAACATGGGTTTATATCTAGAATTGGTTATAAGAGTCCATACCCATTGTCAATGTAACCCTCAACTTATGATTACAGGCAGGCAGCATCTTATGACAATTAGCCATTAAAATGGTAAAAGCATGAGATTAAATTCAGTTCAAGCTATTAAACAATACCCCCTTGGATCCATATCGATGATGTTCATGTTTTGCAACTGTTGAAGAATGTGGCGCGCAACGGACCCACTGCTTTCGTTGAGTGTTATTATTATTATTACTATTATTTTTTACCAAAATAATTAGTCTTATCTATAGATTTCTCATAATTTCAGTCTTTAAATTTTATGTATGTTTTAACTAACCCGTGTATTTGACGTAGCGAAAGTTATAGGGAAGATGAACAAATCTCACAAAAAAGAAAACTCACGAAAAAATTTTATTTCATTCAAATCAATCTGCGGCCTCAAGAGGCTTACAACGTATTTATAGCAAAAATCTAGAAAATTCGGAAATTAAATAACAATTAAAAAAAAGATTTTTTTCCAAAAATGGAAAAAATCAAGATAATGACGGAAATTAATAGCCCTAATCTTCGGGATTACTCTCCAACAAACGGAATGTAAATCCGAATTTATTTGATTGAGATATACTCAAAATAAGAATTACCAAAAAAGGAAAACATGTCTAAACGAAGGAATTTGCTCGAAGTTGGTCCTACATCAAAAGCAACGCCTTTGAGTTTAACTTTTCAGCCCGTTTCCAACCGAAATAGACAAAAAATTCGTCAAAAACGAACAACTCCAAATTTTCTCCAAATTATTTTTTCTTGCGTCGGCCCCACTTTGCCATGAAGTCCAATTCCTTTTGCACCACATTAGTATTTGATCTGTTTCTTTCCATAGTGTTTGATTGTATTTTATCTTTAGTGAAATTGACAACTGCAGCAGTGTACTTTGTGTTGGGTAACTTCTTTAAGCCAGTTTCTTTCTTTAGTTCATTGTTCATGTGTTTTTTTTAACAAATTTGACTCTCCTTTCTCTTATTATTACAAAATATATAAAATGGAGTTTGAAGAAGGTGTGGGAGAAGAGCCCATGATTGCAACAGATAGTGTAGGTTTCTATTCATTGATGAAAAAAAAAAATATTTCATACATATCTCTATTGCAATAGCAATAGAGATGTCACACCGAAGACTGATAATTATTTGTTTTATTTATGAAATCTGTCATAGGAATTACACAGGGTCCGAGATTCATGGGTTTCGTACCTTGGCAGCTATAACATAAATAATCGTAAACCTATGTAGAAGACATAAGTCCTTTGTGTATATTTGGTAATTTAGTTTGTGAAGTTTGAATCATTTTAGTATTTTTTCTCGGTAGGTCAACTTCTAATTCATCTTGAGGGTTTTACAGTTTATCATTTCGCAATAATTTAGCACTAAGATTTGGAGTCTGTTTGGGAGTGATTTTGAGAATTGATTTTTTGACCGTTAAGAGAAAAGTGGGGTCCACCTGTGGGAGAAGAAGTCAAATATGAAGGCTGGAATAGTGAAATAACGATCAAAAAATCAATTTTTTCGATGAAAAAATCGCTCCCAAACAGGCCATTAGGATAACTAAGCAAGCAATACATAAGTCATTAGAATTGAATGCAAGAAAAATTTATGCTTGACCAACCAACAGTTGCAAAATATCAAAATATATGTGCACTTGTGCATGCAGACGACGGCTCTGAGGTTGACTATGATGGATTGGTTTAAAGCGATGCCAAATTTTATTGAGTTAATATATATGTTGTATGAAATGTAGAGTCAACAATGTATTGAAGTAGTTGCAATATATTATTTAGACTGACATTATAATGAACGGTTTTCAAATCAATTTTTACAATTTATCTTAAAACATGTTGACTGGAGTGTTACCAAGGCATAGTGTCTCTATCAATTGATCGTTTCATATTTAATATTTTTTGAAATTTTAATATCCGATCCTTGTTACATCGATAGATTTGGACATCGGTGATATAATGGAGGAAGCCAAAACCAGATGGCTCAGACCAAATGAAATCCATGCCATACCCTGTAATTACAAGTACTTCAGCATTAATCACAAGCCTGTGGATTTGCCAAAAAGTGATATATTGGTACGTTTATGGTCTTTTTTTTTTTTTTTTGCTCCTTCAATCTTCTATAAGTTTACTTTATCAATTACTATTGGGAGTTTCGTTTTCTTTTTTCTGCTTCGGATTGATTGCTAATTCTCTTTTGCCTTATTGACGAGGGAGGTCAAAGAATGGAACATATCCCACTAATTGATTGAAGACAAGTTGTAATGTTGTCCACCGCTTCTCTTTTTAACCATTTTCCTGTTAATGCTGGCTACCTTCTTCTTGTCTGTTTTTCTATTTGGAAACAAGGAAAGAGTCCACAATTCACGTTTGTGTACTGCACTAGCTTATGACGCTGAAGGCAGCTGCACAAGAAAGTTTTGTCCACTACTATTTAGGATTTCTTGCTAAATTTGAAATTATAGCATTCTCTATTTATTGTCTCTATGTATGTTTTTGTTTAATTAGATTGTATATACAAGTAATTGGTTGTGTGTGTTCTTCAGTAAAATTAATTGATTCTCCTGTAGGATTTTTGAGCAGGAAATCCATGAGTGTTATAATATTTCAAATACTCGAAAACTAATCAATTTTTTTATGCAGTTTCCATTTGCAGTTATTTATTTTAATTTTTGTCCATGGTAATTATGAATTCATTAAATCCAATGTCTACTGCTCGACTTCAGTTTACATTTCTTTTGTTGATGGCCAGGTCTCGGAAGATGTTCAGATAAGGGATTGTCTATTTTCTCTTCATATGAGTTTTCACTCAGTTGTGTTTTGTATTCTCCACTTTTGTCTTTGATGCATCTGCTTACATTGCTAAGACATAAAACTCATGCCATTTTTTCCGCCACTGAGCTGGCTTCATACCATTTGATTTTCGGAATTTTCATCAACCGGATCTACACTACAAGTTACCATTAAATTTTGGTTTCCATACAGGTTTATATCAACGAAAGAATTAATGTATACTATGCACATGGAGAAGATAACCTAACTTCTGTTCGCAGGTGTTACTGGCTACATGACAAGTACGGAATTTCAAAAAGATCATTTTTTTTCTTTGCTTATTGCTTCTACATTAACCATTGCAAACAACTTTTTGCACTATTACCAAACACGAGAAGCCTGATCATATAAAGCTTTAACTGTCGTGAGTAATTTTTTTGCAGGTCACTCGAGCATATTATTCTTGTTCATTATCATGAAACTCAAGAGATTTGCTTCTTACGAATTGCAATATAATTCTTCGTGTATTATAATCTTCATATGTGTTACTATGCTGATATATGGAACAGTGTTTTTGAAAAGACAACAAATCTTTGTGAATTGGTGATCCTATTCTGGTTATAAGAACGAATTTGCAAAGAATAATACATGAATAATCTGGTAACTATTGTATAGCTTAGAAATGCTTGTGCATGTGCAGAAAGAATTTGTATACTAACTAAAATTCATTCATTCGGTTTCGACTATTAAATTCTCTAGATATTAGCTCTAAAGCTGCATGGTCATATCGCGTAAAAAAGCAATACAAGGCCACTTGCCTTTTTCTAGTGTACTTTTCTTGCTGATTGCTTAAACTTGCAGTCTCTACTTATTATAAATGAAACTTGTTTAGAGTCATATATGGGTCAACTTATTGCCTTTTTATAATAGTTGTTTGTACTTGTGCAGGACAAATATTTAGTAGATACTGAGATTAGCTATATTTCTTTGACAAATCCGAGGCCATAGTTTGTATGTGAATACAGAATACCTCAAGGTCGTAATAAATGGTTGAGCATTGTATATATTTCACTCTCATTGACAAATATTTCTATATATGTATGAAACTTGGGCTGTCATGAACTCATCATATAATTGTAGGATTCTTCAGCCATTTTCAGCTGTCTTTGACCCATTTGCTCCTTGGCCTTCTGAAGAATCTGATTCCTCAGTTGAATGGGCATATTACAGCAGACCACAATCAGGTGAAGATAAAATATGGACGATGATATCATCTTTTACCGTTCGAATGAAAATATTTGGTCCATGCATAAAACCATTTTCTTATACAATGTGCTGTTGAGTTTCCAAATCAAATAAAGTATATTTATTAAGTAGAACCTTGAATTCTTTGACATGATTTTTGCTTTGAATATAGCTTAAGTTGAAGTACTTGTTTCTCAATGATTTTCTAACGAATAATGACAGTGTGATTGTAAAAAATATGAATAGAGACTTTATGAGATAAATACACTTGAATGGGATGAGTTTCTGGTGCCGGTTGATCCAAATAAGCCAATTACACCTCAAGAAGATGATGATGGACTCGATATTTTTCTAGTGTTTACATTTATAATATAAGTTTCTATTGGACATGCTGATCATTTACTTTATTCGTGCATGCAATTGTTTGACTATAGGGAAAACTTTAGGCTTTTTTTTTTTTTTTTTTTTTTTTTTTTTTTTTATATACAGGTATCCCATCTTACACTAGACTAAATCCTGGACCCCCAAGATCCTTGCCCCTATTACATTGGAGGGGGTAAATCGCGGGTTATGCCTCAATTGGATCACAGGTTCCCCCCACCGTCTGTACACTTCTGCGCACAAGAGATCCTCCTCCAAAGTGATTGCTCCATACCAAATAAATCTGACCACAGGTTCCCACCAAAATTCGAACCTCCACCCTGTCGCTGGAAGCAAGACAAATGTTGATTGATCCACTAGTTGAGCTGTGCCTCGGGGAGGAAAAAAAATAATAAATAAATAAATAAACTAATGAAAGTGAACTGTTGATTTTAAAGTGTCATCTCATATTCTCAATACATCCTTGTTTTCTTGCATGTAGAGCGACTGATGAAAGTCTTTTCATTTTTGCCTTCTTTTTGTGTGGGTACCAAAATTACTCTTGTAGGCGTTTACTCTTGAATACATATACATTTTATCATCGAAGACTAGACCATGTCCTTATAATAAACGTACCCTAATGCTCCAAAACTAAGATAAATGGGTAAAGAATTGTCGTAAAAATATCTTTCCGTTTAATTTTTGCATTTCTGATTAAGAATGGTGTATGAAAGTGAATGTCCTTTTGGTTGGTGTACCTTGTTTCATGGGATCATCAACAGTAGGTGAAAATTTCTTTATCGTAAAATATTGTAGATGCCTGAGACTTTTTATTACCACCTCTATTTTGAACCTTTGATTTGCACATTCTTGATTTGGTTTTTGTGTTTCGTTCCTTCATCTTTTCACCGTGCACTATTCGTACTTCTGTATGTTGAACCTGATACTGTATTTGTTTTGCCATTGTACCTTGTGATTTTGTTTCATGAGCAGCCCAACTACGTCATACTGGCAATAGCTCCAGCAAATGAAACCAAAGCTTTTATCCCCAAGTACTATAGACTGGAACAAGGATTGCGGTTCTGGCTTAGGTCAAACTACAACTCCTAGCTTGAAAAGAGATTCTACTCCATCTCTAGATGAAGCTATAACTCCATACCAGGGCCAGAACCATACTTGGGGTCCAAAAAAATTGAAACTCCACTATCGAAACATAAGCTTTATTGAAAGTTTCAAAACTTCATGTATAGAAGATATCACTATTGGAGGCTAATAATATCATCGCTAAACCTGGGTAAAACACTAGCTTGTTGTCTAATGTCTCCTTGTAGACTTTCCTCTTGTTTGGTAGTCGTTTTATGTCTGAGTCGAAGTTTTCTTGATTTCTTCATGCTCTTGGGATGCTTCGTCCCATATTTTATGACGGAAATCATATGGAACTTTGCCTTGTCAAATGAAGTTGATTGTGCTAACATAATTCAACGCACATATTATCCATCCTTGACACTTGACACGCTAACATTACCTTACAAATAACTTAACCCGTGCATTGCACGGGCAAAAGACTAGTGTGTGTATGTGTTTGTGTGAGTGAATAAAAAAAAATATTTAATTGATTATAAACATATTTCAAATATTAGGCAAACATATTTGAGTCTTTTTTCTCCACCTTAAAAAATACTTATAAGTAAACTTAACCTTTGTTTAAGTCCCATTTTTTCATCAAAATACATTCTTAAATAGTGATTTGACATTATTTCAAACACACATTTTTCAATAGAATAATATTAGACACAAACTCATAACTTTTCATTATTTTTTAATCACACATTCTCCATCATAACATTATTTCAAAATGCATTTTTTCTGAAAAAATGGGGCTCAAATAACCTTTTAGAAAAATACTAAAGATCCGTTTGATTGCAAATAAGGAATTTGTATGGAAGGAAAACAAATTTTAAGGAATTGAATTGTCTAGAAATTATTTTCTTGTGAATTGTAAATTATTGTGATTGATTGATATAATTTTTCACGTGAAATATGTTGAAATAAAAGTGTTTTTAGATGTTCGTTTGACTTTGTTTTACGTGAAAATTGTCTATTAAAGAAATATAATTTACTGATATTGGGGATGAATTTTATTTTCATTGTCAACAAAAAAATTCAAGAAAGCATCTATCTTTTGGTGTTCGTTTGACTTTGTTTTATATGAAAATTGTCAGTTAAAAGGAAATATTTTTTTTACAATAATTCTTAAAATTTATTTTCATTGCCAAAAAAAAAAAAAATAGAAAAAAATAAAAAAGTGATACAGTAACCAAGAATTGGAATTCCTTGAAAAGCATGAAAAATCCTAGGTGGCATGAAAAGTTAGAAAATGAATGCCATGAAAAAATAGAGCCATCAAACAAGCAAAAACCTAAAATTGAAATTGGTTTTCCGTTTTCCAAGAAAAATTTGAGTGTATCAAACGCACCTTAAGTGTACAAAGAATTTCTCACAAATTTTATATTGGTGAAACTATGGCAACATCTATGTGGTTCATTTTTTCCTGTTATTTTGTCATTTTTCAATCAGAAATTGCCAAGTATCCTTCTCCTTCCTATATGAATTCTGTGAGCCAGTCCTGTAAGTGTCGCAAGGTTCGTAAATTTATTTGTAAGTAGATGATAGAACTATTTTGAACAAGTTTTTTCATAGAACGAAGTTGACATGAGTAAATTATTTATTTTAAGCTTTTAACATTAAATATAAGTGATTTTTACTTAAAAATGAGAACTTGTAAAAGGGACTATATCTTTATGAGACTCGATTATAAATTAAATCAAACGTGTACACTCATTTTCTTTTTACGTCAGTTTTTTATTTTAAAATATTTTCTACTTCTATTCTGACATTCATTTACAATTCTTCACCATTCACTTCGGCACATTGGTAAATAGAATTTTTGAAACTAATTAAAAAAAAATTATTCTTCAGTTTATCTTTACCAAAGATATTAGTTCGATTTTTCGAAGATTCTCTAGCAATTCAATGTGCTAAATGTAACATATGTTTGGCTGCTGGATGCTAAAGATATTGGGTTTCTGTGTTTGTTCAATGCAGAAACTTTATTTTAAAGAATAGAGCAGTTGCATTGTACAAAAGGATACAATACAACTTCACTCTTACAGAGAATTCTCATCACCTCAAATTAACACCAAAAACAGTCATTTATGAGTATGAAATTCTTATTTATTTCTTCCTCACTAGGAACAAAAATGTTGTGCATTACCAACAAATGCTCAAACCAGTCTAACATGGAAGAGAAAAATAGAAAGTAACAAGAATATGATTATTTGCTGATTGCAAGTCGTCCCGGTGGATAAACTTACAAGGAAGCTGTGGAGAATCTAGTTGACGACATCAACAACCAGCTTCCGGGACTTGAAAACAGACCACCTCAAGCGCCGGTAATAACCAGCTTGAAGAAGTGCCAATGATAGTACAAATATCCACTTGAAACCCATCTGTAAAGGCACAGAGAGATGTCAAACCAAAACTGCATTCATGTTTTACTTTATAAATAATAGCTTACCAGTTTTCGTTCTTCCATTTCTGGCTCTGCAGCCCATGATAAAAACGTCACGACATCTTTCCCCATCTAGAAGGACAACATGCAAAATGAGTGAAGATTGGTAATACCCAAAAATAATAGTGTTGGATTGTGTGAAGCCTTATCATAACATATAATTATCCCTCGACACTGACAGTAAATTGACCTTCGCAGTAAGGTCAACGAGAGTTGCAGGGTGATGGTAGTCCCCATTGCTTGGGGTTCAGGATAGTAGCCCCTGAGGTTATTCTTCTCTATTGTAGGTGCAATTGTGCATTCATACGTGTATTAGGCCAGCCTAATATTCTAGCATAAAGGATTTCTTAAGGGGTCGTATTTGTGCAAGAGAGGTGAGAGGAAAACTAGTACTTTCTTTTTATCCATTATAGTGATAACCTGTATTGCGGGTGAATGTAGTTCGCACTGAGGATGAACCACTATAAATGTATGTGCTTTGCTAATCTTCAATTTTGCTCTCTAATTATTACAGCTATTAAAAGCAGCAATTAGGTTTCATAATTCAAAATAACTAGTGCCCTAATGTTTTGTATGGATGGCATCTACATAAAGACTCCAGCAGAGATGTAAAATCTTGAATTTGGGCCACAATGAAGAGTGCCTTACCTGAGCTTCTGTTGCAGGAGTACCATCTTCGTACTCAACTGCTCCATCATTAAGCATTTTAGGCATAGCAATAGCTCCCCCAGGAAAGTAGGCATTGTAATGCAATCCTTCTCTAATCTACAAAACCAATACAGCTTGTATAATTGTAACATCCCAAATTTTTACTACTAATTAAATTTAAATTAGGACTTAATTGCACTATTATTAAAGTTAAATGACCTTGTTGATTATTGGTCTAGTCTAATGACCTTATTAGTTATTAACCAATAGTTGAGGGCCTAAGTAGAAAGGTGTTTTGGAAATTAGATTAATTCATGCATAAAACATATGTATATATGCTAATTGGTCTTGATTAATAATGATTTATTGAACAAATGCATTATTCACACCACATTTCAAGCCAATGTACCTGATTTGATCACGTAAATAAAGGAAATTGATTTGACCACATACATTATTTACACCAAGTTTTAAGCTAAATGAATTGATTTGACCACATGATTTAATCTATTGATTCTATCATTTTCATGACAACACACCATTTAAGCATTGACCATGCCTAAAATCAAGCCTTTTTTTTTTTTTCACTTTTCTACACATGGTCAAGATTTTTACTATAAATAGAAGACAAACCTAACACTAAATTATCCCTCAACAACTATTTACACACACTACCTCTCTACCTCTATAACTTTGTCTCTCCACTTCCTCTATTTCTCGTCATTTTGATATTAAATATAGTCGTATACTTATACAATCACATGTTACGTATGTTTTATTAAGAACGGACCGGTGTTTAATAGCACTACGCACGAGAAGTTAACACCATGTAAGTTTGATCTAATTTTCGTGTCTTCCTATGCAAGATATAAATTTTCTGTAGAAATACATATATGAATTCATTATCCACGCACGCTTATTGAGAATTATTCTCACCCAATTATGTCTCTACTTTTAAATAATTGACAATTCGAGATAGTCGACACGGAGATGTCTCATGGTGGCTATAGTTTCATTAATAAAAATATTAAGTTATCAAACTATTATTTTATTTGATTTTAAATGTTTTAAGATATTTCTCGTTCCAAGTTAATTTATTAAATTCATTACATTATTTGAATTTTGGTAAGTGCTTAAATAATTTATATGATTATGTTGAATATTCTTTAAATTAGTTTAGTTTAGTGACACATGAAACGTTAAGGATTGGATCGTCACTATAATTAGATAGGAAAGAAAAGAATACTATATGCTACACCGACAAACAAGATATCACACTTACAAGGACTACAAAAGATATAGAAGAACTTACCGAAACTCCAGCAGGAGGATCACGATAACCAGTCAGAAGGGCAAAAACATAATTTTGACCATTATGACGAGCCTAAAGTAGAAAGAAGAAATGTCTTAAGATGGACAAAAAAATATTTACTAATAAATGAACACAAATCAGAAGGCAGGAAATACTTTGGTTATAAGACTCAAATCAGGAGGGTAGGCCCCTCCATTCGCAAACCTAGCTGCCTGTTCATTTGCATATGGCTGGGGAAAACGATCACTCAATTTGCCAGGACGGGTAAACATCTCCCCTTCATCATTAGGCCCATCAACTACCTCGATCTCAGCTGCCATAGCCTTTGTTTCCTCCTCTGTATATGCCACGCCTACCAAGTCCCGATATGAAATCAGGGACATCGAATGGCAGGATGCACAGACTTCTTGATAAACCTGGTGACCACGACGAATCCTGTTTGGAATTGATGACAATATATCAATGAAACAATAGGGTAAAATGTTCTATAGTCACTGATTCAGTTGAGCAAACCAGCAGAATTATGCACATAAAGAGAACATGAAACTCATCAGGGAGAGCGGGAGAATATTATATTGAATAGTACTTGCCAGAGAAAGCTTTACCTACAATGATTATCTAACAAATAAAGGAAATCTTCCTCTATAAAGCACACACATACACGCGTAAGCTTCCTGATTCAATCATGTCCAAGAACTAATAAATTCTCTCGGTATACATTATTCTAATGAGACTTAAACCTCAACAAATTTATCTCATCCAAACAAAGGGATACCTTTTAGGGTCAGAAAAATATTATCTATGCGAAAAAAGGATATGCCAACCAATGTTTCAATTTAATCTCTCTCTCATTTCACACTATTACGACTAAACACTTCATCTGAGATGGTTTAAAGTATTCACGCGTACTTGGGTTAAAAATTTGATAGCTTCTTTCTTACGTCTGCTAGAATCATCAAAAGTTGGGTAAATTGAAGATACAAGAAAGTAAATTTAGAGCTTGTTTGTCTTCCATTTTGGGAGAAAATATAGAGTTTTGAATAGTATTTTTTGGAGAATGTGTTGTTGAAATTCAAAAAAACTTTATTGATTTGTGTGTAGAATATTTTATTGTGTGAATGTATGATGAAAAATGTTACTGTAGCAAACAATTTATTTTGTTAAAGGATGACAAACAGGGCCTTAGAATTGTATGGTATGTGGAGAGAGAGTGAAATCAAAATGGTAATTTTTTGTCAATTGAGATAGTATCCTTGCTGCTCCAAAGTAACATTTTTATCCATTGCGAGAAATTTCAAGAAAGAGAATCAACCAGTTTGCTTCAAAATTAGAAAGCCAGAATACAGATATTTTATTTTAATGTATTATGAAGCATAATTTGACATGGTATACTTCTTACGTGAGATTAAAATAAGATATGGAATAACAGAATAACCAATGATGTATAGAACAGGTGATGAACAGTTCAAACGGCATGGAAATGAAGATATTTGAATTCCTTTTTTTTTTTTTTTGGGACATTTAAAGAAAAGAATAATGAAATCATGATATAAAACAAATAGAACGAGTAGGTTAAATTGGCCCATGCTATCAAGTTGCAACTTATTAAAATCTCAAAATATAACACAGATCTAACTTGGATGTCAAAAGCTGAATTAGTCTGCAAACAAAGAACTTGTTTGGAAAATACTAGATATGATAGCATAAACTCACGAAGCATGGTCATATGAACTGAGAATGCCTTCGTGAGGCCAAGGATAGCTTGGGGCTTCCAAACCATGTTCGGCCTCATCAGAGGATGCTATTGTTGCAAAACTTAAAAGGCCTGATACACCTGCTCCAAAGAGTGCCAGTGCCCTCAAGGACTTCATGCCTATCCCAATGCTTTCCTGCTCTTTCTTGGAAACAAGAAAAGACAAAACCAGAGAGGCCTGAAAATTGGATGAAGAAAAATGAACCAGAAGACAATTTCAGCCACCAATTTATAATTGAACTGACAAACACTCGATTAAATTAACAGAAAGTCCACAGAAAGCTATGATACTAATTTCCCCCACCAAACTTAGTCAGCAATAGTCCTGCATGGAACTTTTACTATTCATTTGCTTCATAGTTCAAGGTAGTTCAAATGGAGGTATATGTTCCGGCTGCATTACCATGCTGCTACCAGAAGGAAATATTCTAGAAAAATGGACTAAAAGCAATATCAAAAGCATAGTTGAGAAATTCCATTCAGGAGATCATGTCAATAAGGGAACCCAAGGCCAAAAACTGTTGGTAGTGTGTTGCATTGATTTCTTTTCTAGTTTAAAAGTAAGAAGATAAGGTGAGATCAATTGTTTTTGTTATGAAAACTCTTAAAAAAATGCATCTGTGAACCTCTTGGCAAGCTTATAACCTGTTAAGTAAATTCATTACTATCTAAATATTCACTTTTCCTGAAACAAATAGACATAATGAAATATAATACACAAATTTCCACAGATATAATGTGTTCGCTTTTCATTCTTTCATGTGATAACTAGACTCCAGACTTTATGGAACAGATAATATTGTAAGCATTTCATTTAAATCTCAAACACCCAGCACAAAAACTAAATACATTAACAAGAGCCAGCAAAATTGACCTGCAAAGACGCATAATTAGTCCCAAAAAAATTATGTTATTATTATTATTTTTAATCGAAATGCTCTTTCTCACAGGTTCACTCATGTAGTAAATTATCAAGACTGTATAAGTTGGTATGCTAACGGCTGGAGAGGAACAGATGCCCAACCCTTGCATGTGTAAAATAATAGACATCTCAGTCTCTCTAGATGTCTAGATATATCAGGCTATTAAATTTGAGGTCTTGCACAAACTTTTATATTATTATCACTCTCTATTGGGACATAAAGCCCTCAGGTAATCTCCAAAGCAAGAACCTGCTCATATTACTTGAATGAAATATAGCAGAAACGAAATATTACTTGAATGATATATATAATAGAAATTAATTAAAAACATAAATCAAAATTAGAAAGTTTACATTGGTCTGTGAATGAAGCCTATCTCTCAGCAAACGGTGGATCGCTCTACCTCCAAACATTTTAATTGATCACTCTGCTTATATAAAGAAAAAAAAATTGAATAAATGATAAACACCATCTAACACTAAGATAGCTATATAATATATCAGAAGTAATTTAGCATTCAAAGACCACAATACACAAAGTGAAGGAGAATTAGTCCTCAGAAACCTTATCCCATCCCCTCTGAAACAAAAAAGAAGGATGAATTCAAGAGATTATTAGATTGAACTTTACTAAACTATGATATGCAAGGAAAAGGAGAATTAGGCCCCAGAGACCCTATCCCCACCCCCCAGAAACAAAAAAGAAGGATGAATGCAACAGATTGTTAGCATCCCATATCAATGAAATTCATAATCAAATGGAAATTAGTGTGTTATAGTGTAATATCCCCATCCCTTGGCACAAAAAAAGAAAGAGGAGAACCTTGAGTTTTTCTTTTTCGGTAAGATAAAAGTTGAGAATTAAATATAGAGTTTTGAATAGTATTTTTTGGAGAATGTGTTGTTGAAATTCAAAAAAACTTTATTGATTTGTGTGTAGAATATTTTATTGTGTGAATGTATGATGAAAAATGTTACTGTAGCAAACAATTTATTTTGTTAAAGGATGACAAACAGGGCCTTAGAATTGTATGGTATGTGGAGAGAGAGTGAAATCAAAATGGTAATTTTTTGTCAATTGAGATAGTATCCTTGCTGCTCCAAAGTAACATTTTTATCCATTGCGAGAAATTTCAAGAAAGAGAATCAACCAGTTTGCTTCAAAATTAGAAAGCCAGAATACAGATATTTTATTTTAATGTATTATGAAGCATAATTTGACATGGTATACTTCTTACGTGAGATTAAAATAAGATATGGAATAACAGAATAACCAATGATGTATAGAACAGGTGATGAACAGTTCAAACGGCATGGAAATGAAGATATTTGAATTCCTTTTTTTTTTTTTTTGGGACATTTAAAGAAAAGAATAATGAAATCATGATATAAAACAAATAGAACGAGTAGGTTAAATTGGCCCATGCTATCAAGTTGCAACTTATTAAAATCTCAAAATATAACACAGATCTAACTTGGATGTCAAAAGCTGAATTAGTCTGCAAACAAAGAACTTGTTTGGAAAATACTAGATATGATAGCATAAACTCACGAAGCATGGTCATATGAACTGAGAATGCCTTCGTGAGGCCAAGGATAGCTTGGGGCTTCCAAACCATGTTCGGCCTCATCAGAGGATGCTATTGTTGCAAAACTTAAAAGGCCTGATACACCTGCTCCAAAGAGTGCCAGTGCCCTCAAGGACTTCATGCCTATCCCAATGCTTTCCTGCTCTTTCTTGGAAACAAGAAAAGACAAAACCGGAGAGGCCTGAAAATTGGATGAAGAAAAATGAACCAGAAGACAATTTCAGCCACCAATTTATAATTGAACTGACAAACACTCGATTAAATTAACAGAAAGTCCACAGAAAGCTATGATACTAATTTCCCCCACCAAACTTAGTCAGCAATAGTCCTGCATGGAACTTTTACTATTCATTTGCTTCATAGTTCAAGGTAGTTCAAATGGAGGTATATGTTCCGGCTGCATTACCATGCTGCTACCAGAAGGAAATATTCTAGAAAAATGGACTAAAAGCAATATCAAAAGCATAGTTGAGAAATTCCATTCAGGAGATCATGTCAATAAGGGAACCCAAGGCCAAAAACTGTTGGTAGTGTGTTGCATTGATTTCTTTTCTAGTTTAAAAGTAAGAAGATAAGGTGAGATCAATTGTTTTTGTTATGAAAACTCTTAAAAAAATGCATCTGTGAACCTCTTGGCAAGCTTATAACCTGTTAAGTAAATTCATTACTATCTAAATATTCACTTTTCCTGAAACAAATAGACATAATGAAATATAATACACAAATTTCCACAGATATAATGTGTTCGCTTTTCATTCTTTCATGTGATAACTAGACTCCAGACTTTATGGAACAGATAATATTGTAAGCATTTCATTTAAATCTCAAACACCCAGCACAAAAACTAAATACATTAACAAGAGCCAGCAAAATTGACCTGCAAAGACGCATAATTAGTCCCAAAAAAATTATGTTATTATTATTATTTTTAATCGAAATGCTCTTTCTCACAGGTTCACTCATGTAGTAAATTATCAAGACTGTATAAGTTGGTATGCTAACGGCTGGAGAGGAACAGATGCCCAACCCTTGCATGTGTAAAATAATAGACATCTCAGTCTCTCTAGATGTCTAGATATATCAGGCTATTAAATTTGAGGTCTTGCACAAACTTTTATATTATTATCACTCTCTATTGGGACATAAAGCCCTCAGGTAATCTCCAAAGCAAGAACCTGCTCATATTACTTGAATGAAATATAGCAGAAACGAAATATTACTTGAATGATATATATAATAGAAATTAATTAAAAACATAAATCAAAATTAGAAAGTTTACATTGGTCTGTGAATGAAGCCTATCTCTCAGCAAACGGTGGATCGCTCTACCTCCAAACATTTTAATTGATCACTCTGCTTATATAAAGAAAAAAAAATTGAATAAATGATAAACACCATCTAACACTAAGATAGCTATATAATATATCAGAAGTAATTTAGCATTCAAAGACCACAATACACAAAGTGAAGGAGAATTAGTCCTCAGAAACCTTATCCCATCCCCTCTGAAACAAAAAAGAAGGATGAATTCAAGAGATTATTAGATTGAACTTTACTAAACTATGATATGCAAGGAAAAGGAGAATTAGGCCCCAGAGACCCTATCCCCACCCCCCAGAAACAAAAAAGAAGGATGAATGCAACAGATTGTTAGCATCCCATATCAATGAAATTCATAATCAAATGGAAATTAGTGTGTTATAGTGTAATATCCCCATCCCTTGGCACAAAAAAAGAAAGAGGAGAACCTTGAGTTTTTCTTTTTCGGTAAGATAAAAGTTGAGAATTTTGTGCCATGTTATAATAGTCATCTTCATCTTGGCTCAAAACTCACATATAAAAATGTTTCTACTTAATAATAAGACTTCCTATGATCCTCACTACTACAGTGCAGTCCTCTTGAAGTAACCATTGTATAACAAATTACCCCCACCCCCACACATTAATGAATGCTTGGACATCATTACAATTCCATTGATGTCAAAAGAAAAAGTGAAATTCCAAAAACCCCTTGCATAAGTGTCCATTGAGGGTTCTACTATTTATTCAATAGACCAAGAGTAACAGAATTGGCTTAAGAAGAAAAGAAAAGAGTTACAACATCAAATCCACATGGCTAAGCCCCAAATAGCTAAGCAGTAGCAGTAACAACACCCACATGAAACCCACAACATTTAACTATATTAGATAAGCTTAACTATTAGTAGAGCATGTTTGGCAAATAAGCAAATGGCTTAAAAGCAATGGGTCCACAAAATTTTGTGGGTTGAAATAAGCCACACGAGTAAGGCTTAAATTAATTATTTCTAATTTTGTGTGGAATCACACCCCATACATTTTAAACCACACATTAGTGTGGGGCATAAGCTAATGGCTTATTTGCCAAACATGCTTTAATCATTTAATTATGTTCATTTTTGCTTATTCAAGTCTCTATTTCAACAAGGGGAAAAATGTCCCAATAACATCCTAAGATAATGCCAATCTAAATGCCCAACCCAGATCGTAGTTGTGTGTGGATTTGAATGGATATTACATATAATAATGGACAGGTGGCCAGTGGATGGTGAAGACCAGAGGGTTTAGGGACCTGCTGTGTGGATTTGGGTTCACCATTATCTTTCTTTATATATATTTACCTGTGGGCATGATTTTTTACATCCCTCTATGTTCATATGATTCACTGGCATGTATTCTCCAAAGCTTGTATTTTTAGGTGGTGTCAAAATGCAAGAATAGCCTTGAAGACACGGTTTTTAGGTTAAAAAAAAAAAACAATTACCTTATAATAATGTTTAGAGGGAAAATTTTCTTGTTGGAATAGTCACATTTCATGACAAATGTTGACAAGAAAAGTCATTATAAGGTATAATTACCAAGACTACAACAGTCTTCTTGAGTCGGAGCGGCGGAGCCAGCACCCGCCAAGCCAGGGCGGCCCCGTGCTGGCTCCGCCGGAATTTACAGTTTGAGCAAATAAACATTAGCCAAAAACTAGAAGAAAAATAGAATCCAGATCCGGCACCCCAATACATACGCAAGAGCTGGAATTTTTAAGTATCAATGGATTAGAAAAGGGAAAATTAATTTTGTCTCTTCAGTTACAGATCTCCAAAATTATTCAGTACTGAAAACTTCTCAGGAGATAAAAGGCCATATGTATAACAAATTCATCATCATGGAGACAAATCTCACGCAAAAATGTAAATTAACAAGTCATGATCGTATAGCTGATACCTCACTGCATGCCAACTTCTGCAAGCAATAATTGCTGTGTCCGGTGTGCTTGTACAATGGAAAATGAAGCGGCGTTGAGATTTCAGAAGCCCTGGGAATTCTGAATTGTGATCGGGCTTTTTGAGCCTTTTGGATTGGATATTCAGTCCATGTCCATAGGGCCCATCTCTTTTTTAACATTTTTCATGAAAAAATTACCTAAAAACCTACTTTTAAAGAATAATTTTTTTTAAAAAAAATAAGAGAATTATTTTTTGTTTCACAAATCAGATGATAATTAAATTTTAATAATTATAAATAAAAATTTAATAAAACATATCTATATATTCACCTCATCCAACCCCCACTCTACATAGCCACATATGAACCATTCATTTCAAAATCCTTAAATATATAATTTTTTCTCATCTCTCTCTCTCTCTCTCTCTCTCGTCTCTTCTCACCCACCCACCTTCATTTTCAATGTTGTTGCTCGTTGCTGCACAACGCCACGAGCAGCGTGGAAGCTAATCGATGATGGTCATACTTGGTGATGACTCCAGTCATGATGATTTCAATGTCATTTCCATCGCCTCCATTGACTATGCCATTCTGATCAAATTGGAAGTCAATGGTCATCCTTGATCTTTGCGCTGGAGATCTTGTCCCTAAAAATGGTCATTGTCGGCAGCGATGGTAGATGAGGTTAATTTTAGGAACTATTTTTCCATTAATGCAACTGTTACGGCATCTAAGGAAGTACCTGAAAATAAAAAGTGGACATAATAGATATTTTGGTGTCTTGTCGGTGGTGGTGGTTTCGTTGGTGATTTTTTTTTTATATGTACGGTAGTTTTGTTGGTAGTGCTAGTGGTGGTGTAAGCGGCAAATGGTTTTGTTATTGGGTGCATGTGATTGTGGTGATGTAGTGTATGTTTGATTCTTGATGTTGTTGGTCGTGTGCTAGTGCCAGAGTGGTGGCGATGGAAATCGATTGTGACCAAGTCTATTTGTGATCAAATCTATGATAGCTATGATTAGACTAATTTGGTCACAGACAATCATACTGAAGACAAATTTAGTCACAGATAAAATAAGTCAGTGAAGGTAGTATTTATAGTCGTGAATTTGAGTTGAAGCTAGTGGTGGTGGTGCAATGGAGGTGACTAGTGGCTGATTATAGTGATAGTCTGCATTGTGTGCAAATTTATTTATGGTGACCCAATACGATCAAATTTATGTTTATTGTGACTAGTTGTGATCAAATTTGTGTCAATTGTGACTTGGCCACATATCGTCACAATTAAGATTAACTTGATCATAGCCAGTCATTCTGGGGATAAGTTTGGTCACAGCTAGTAACAGATAACACATGTTAGTGACTTAGTTACATACAGTCACAAACAAACACATTGAAGACAAATTTTATCATCGTTAGTCATACGTAACACATGCATGGTCACAAACAAAAAAATTGGTCACTAAAAATACAATTAGTCCATGGGTAGGGTATAATCTCCAAAAAAAAATATTTGAAATTTTTGGAAAATTTCTACAAGATGGGGTGGGTGGGTCAGGTCAGGTGGTGGTGTTCCATGGTGTCGAGTATAATTTCCAAAAAAGGTTTTCAATTTTTGAAAAAAAAAATATTAAAGGGTAGTGGTTGGGTAGGGTAAAGGTCAGTGCGGGTTGTTCCGAGGGTGAGATGTAATTTCCCAAAAAGAAGTTCTCTATTACTAAAACTTTTTTACAAGTGGGATAGGTGGAGGTGGTGAGGTTGGGGTTAGAATATTATTAATTTGGTGTGGGGTGAGTAGGGTTTGGCAGTCTATTAATTGAGTTGGAATAATTAACTTCAATTAATTATATATTATATATATTATCAATTAGAATTAACATCGGAACTTTGAAATAATTATATATTTTAAGTTTGTTAGTTTTGAAATGTAATTATTATATATAGGAGTTATGTACTATTCCTTGTTTCTATTTCGGCTGAGTAATTTTGAGGGTCATACTTTGTATACCGTATAGGTAGATATATATTGGATCAACGATCGACAAAAGCTTCGTTAAGCCTCGAGCTTTTCATGTTCCATGTACCTAGTTCTTTTATCTCAAAGTTGTAACCATAATGGTTCCTTTTCTTTAGAGTTGGACTGCTATGTTTAAGCTCCTTTACATGACTCAAATAAAGCAAACATTATATTATATGTCATTTGATTAACTATTGCACCGTAGAGACGAGAAGGGCTAGTATGAAGGAAATGGGTAATTCTTAATAAAATATTTACGTTTTAGTACATTTATATATTGATTAAAGAACTTTTAATATTATTTAATTAAATATCAATAAACGATCTCATTATTACGACCGCTAATGATCGTCGATCAACGGTCAAAGACCACCCAAGCTCATCAATACTCTTGGATTTGTCAATGTTCTTGTACAGTAGTTAAACTTTAAGAGAGGTTCCTAAATTTTACTAAACCTCGAAGTACAAAGTAAACAATAATGAGCCCCTTAAAACCCATCACCCTTTCAGCATATTCGATTTTTGGTCTAACAACCAAATCTTTGAATAAAGCATACATCAAATTACAACATTATTGCATTTGCTCAATCCTCTTTGTCCATTTTCACAAATCGAGAGAGCCACAACTAAAATGTCCATAGATGTGGCACTCTCAACATACTGTACATCTTGACTAATTTTTGAAAAACAATAATAAATTTTGAATGACGAGCATGCTTTTAGCAATCCAATAAAGACAGAAATGTTCACATTGTTTGTGAACAATGTAATTCCATAAACACATGCAATATAAAAAGTGGCATTCCAGAAGACCCTTTTTCCCTCGGAAAAACTTGCTAAACTTATGTGATATTCTCTTCAACTTCATGAGACAACAGAGTCAAAGAAAATTGAAACTACACTCGAATAGCCAGATGGAATTGAACTTTTGGTCCAATGAAGTTGGACCCCCATCAGGTCCTTTCTCCCCATCTGTAAAAGGCCTAACTTTTGATGTGTTTATATTGGCAATAAAAAAATTGGGAAAATTACCCAAAATCCTACATTCTAAGTATAAATTTCAAATATCAAATCTTAACCTTTTTTATAAATCAGGGATTAATTATTTATTTAATATTTATTAAACTCAGACACACCACAAACCCTGATTTCTCTCCTCCCCCACACTCTCTTTCTCTATAGACAATCGATTTGCCGTAGAGGAGCGGTGCAGTGGCGACTGTAGTGCAGTAACAATTTGAATTGAAACATCTAATCTAGTCTTAAAGGTAGCGATTCAAGGTAACGATTGCATAGGTAATGTGGGTGGAGGTGGTCGACATGGATGGTGGCAGTGGAGTGACAGTAATTGGAACTGAAGTAATCAGAGTGGACGACGCCATACACAAGAAGCCCTCCAAAACCTATCTCTTATGATATGGTCTCATTGAAAAAGGCAAAATTGAAGTGCCAATTTCCTTCTCCAGACCCTATTTGTTATGATTGGAATGATACTAATCTGAGTACCAGTGCAATTCCATATCTCCTGTAAACAAAATTTCTCCAAAGCCTCCATTGTAAGGACCTCGTCTTGTTACTTCAAATCGATCAATCAGCTCCATGACCTTCACCTGTATAAGAGACAAAAGATCTAACAAAAGAAATGCCATAGATCTAGCAAAGAAAGTGTTTCGCGCGGGTTAGTCGCTAACAATTAAAAAGGATCAGACGATTGTGTAAGGGACGAAACCTCTTGAGACAAAGTCCCAAAAAGGTGTGTTCTTTTATTGGCGATGAACTTTACAATTGGAAATGAAAAACAACGTGCCTCCAAGGGGCGCAAGCACACGAGTTACTGAAAGAAAAGTGTTTAAGTCTAAAAACTAAGGAAATGAAAATTACATGTTCTCTGTTCGAGAGTTTTGGATTCGGTCCTTTGCTTCTATATCCTTTCTCCCTTTTATACTTCATAGACGATCTCTTTGTGATTAACTACTCTAAAAACTGCTTGATCGTCCTACAACTACCCACTTTCTTCGTAGTGGCCATTTTGTCATGAAAACTACCTTTTAACTGCTGCCATTGCCTTTCATCGTTCAACCGCTTTCGATCGAATTCCTTGAATCGTGGAACGTGATAGTGCTGTCTTAACAACTGCTTTGGTAACTGCATTTCTTGATAACCACGACGCGTTATGTTTGTTGATACCTTGGGCGACTTGAAGGTTTGGGCGAGAATAGAGTAACAACTCTGGGCGACCGTATGATACTCTATTCGTTTAGATTCTGGGCGACTTGCAAACTTGGACGATGGCGTTACCGCATTCTTGGGCCTCCTTATTTGGGCCTTCATCTTGATTTATTCGATTGGGCTTATTCTTTGGGCTATCTGATTTGGGGATCCTCTAATTGGGCTCCACTCCTTGGGCTGTTAGATTTGAGCTTAAATTTTTATGTGTCAACAATTATCCCCCAATATGGTAGAATTAATAATAATTATTGAATTTTGCCATATTCACTTTGTGTTTCCAGCAACATTCGAAATTCTCAATAATTTCAATCATTGTTTCCTTCTATAACTTGAAAATGTGTGTCGTTTTGCAAACCCTTATAAACCCCAAATAAGCCATTTCACTGCTACCAAACCACGTCTCATATTTTTTACGTCTCTTTCAAGATTCACTATTCATCTTTTTGCTTCCTTGCTACGTAACCCTGAAAAGCTTCGTTCCTTTTCCAATGGCTGCTTCACAATCTCAAACTAGCGATTCCTTTAGTTTTGATGACTTTCAGAAACTTCTGAGTCGCCCATACATAACCACAAGTTTTCTCGATCCCGCCGACGTTGGACGTAATGAGTTTTACTTGGGTCCTTTCTTCAACAATGCAGAGGCAGTTGAACAGGCGGAGGTGGGTCAGCTGTTCCCTTGCACTCATGGCCCTCCTTTTCTAAACTCTCTGCCGCTGGGGCCACTTCGCGAAAGAGGTATTCGTACTTGGCCTAAATATGATGTAGCTTTTCGTAGGTGGCATGCTCGCCTTGTGGGTCATGGTCCTACTAAGGCACTTTTTGATAGCGCTAGGATTTCTGATTTGTTAGAAATCTCTATTCGCCCTCCTGCTTTTGATTCTGCACTTTTTTCGATTGCTTTGAGCTTTTGGTCTTCCGAGTATAATACCTTTATTTTCCCTCTCGGCCCTATGTCTATTACTCTTAGGGATGTTGGGGCCCTGGTGAATCTACCACCTTTGGGCGATACTATTTTTCCAGGTATCTTAGTTTCTGGTGGCGCCCCAAAGTTTGGTAAAAACCATACTGATTCTTATTCAAGCCTGCAGACCCTCCACAATTATTCGAGCGCCGAGCCTACCCATAC